TGGGATATGTTTGAAGTCTGGCCGGAACTCTGTTTCAAGTCTGACGTCCCCGGGCGGCCCTGTTCCCTGGGCGGCATCCGGGCGGCCCCGGAACGGGGGCGAGAACGAGGGCGAAAAAGAGGGCGGGAATGAAGGCGGGAACGAGGGCGAGAACGCGGGCGGGACCAATGGCGAAAGCGAGGGCGGGGGCGAAGGCGGGAACGAGGACGAGAACGCGAGCGGGAACGAAGGACGGAACGAGGGCGGGAATGAGGGCGAGACCGAGGGCGAGAACGAGGGCGGGAACGAGGGCGGGGACGAGGGCGAGAACGAGGGCGGGAGCGAGGGCGGGAACGAGGGCGGGATTGACGGCGGGAGCGAAAGCGACAACGAGGGAGAGAACGAAGGCGAGAACGAGGGCGGGAACGATTGCGGGAACGACGGTGAGAGCAAGGACGGGATCGAAGGCGAAGGCGAGGAAGAGGGCTAAAGTGAAAATGGCCTCGGGCGAGGGCGAGGGCGGGCGCGGGGGCGAGGGCACGAGGCCGGGCGCGGGGCCTGGAGCGAGGGGGGGCGGGGGGGGCGAGGGCGAGAACGGGGGCGGGGCGCTGAGGCCGAGGAGCAAAGACGGACGCTCGATGCGGAGGAGTGGGAGGGGGAGGAGGACGAGGAGCAGGAGGAGGTACAAAAGGACGAAGGGAAGAATGGGGGCCGAGGGCAGAGGAGGGACAGCACGTGGAGGGCGACGGCGACCGAGGAAGGAGGAAGCGGGATTACGGAGGCCATGGGGGGGGGGAAGAGGAGGAGGGGGGAAGGTGGAGGAGAAGGGAGGGGATGTGGAGAGGAGGGAGGAGATAAACTGAGGAGGGGGGGCAGTGGGGAAGAGGGACGCGAACGGGGGAGGAGGGGAAGGGAGGGAGAGGGAATCGGAGGAAGGAGGGACGGGATAGACGAGGTAGGAAAGAGAGCGAGAGGAGGGGGGAGGATGGGCAAGGAGAGAGGAAACGGTAGAGGATGGGGGGGGGAGGAGGCCTTTCCCTCTTCCCCCCATCCTGCGGCGATGCCCTCCTTCGTTTGCAGGAAGGCAAAGGCACTTGCGCAGCGCGCCCCGCGCCCTCCGCCCGGGACTGCCAGAACTCTGATTGTACTCTGATTCAGCTCTGTTTTGGCTCTGGCCTGAAACTCTGATTCATCTCTGGTTTGGCTGAATCTCTGATCTGGCTCTGGCCTGACACCCTGATTCATCTCTCTGGTTTGGCTAAAACTCTGATTTAGCTCTGGCCTGGAACTCTGATTGAACTCTGATTTAGCTCTGGCTGGGGACAGGGCCGAATCAGAGTGAAATCGGAGTTCAGAATCAGAGTTAAATCAGAATTCCAGACCAAAGCTAAATCAGAGTTTCAAAAACAAATCATAGATGAAATAGAGTTCCGGGCCAGAGTTGAATCAGAGTTGAATTTGAATAGTATTAGAATTTTTGTGAATTCAGCCTTTGAGGCTAGCTTGCCTCCAAAATACACACTTAACATGAGTCTGGAGATTGTGAAAGGGGTGCGGGGGATTGCAGAGAAATGGCAGGTGGAGGAGAGGACGAGGAGGTAGAATCCACTCCACTCGGCTTCACACCACGCTCCGCTTCACACCACGCAACTCCACTTCACCCTACTCCACTCCTCGCCACTCCACCCCATTCCACTCCACTCCTCCCCCCCCCTCAATTCTCCGAACTCCTTCGCACTCGTCCCAACTCTTCCCATCACCTCGGCACGCTTCCCCACTCCTCTGCACTCCTCGCACTCCTCCGTATTCCTCCGCACACCCCCCGAGTCCTCTGCACTCATCCCAAATCCTAAAAAATGCCTCCGCACTCTTCTCACTCCCCCCATTCCTCCCCACCCCCTCGCATTTCTCACATCCCGGCCACCCCCCGCACTTCTCGGCTCTCTCCCAAACTCCTCTTCACTTCTCCGCACTCCTCCCAATTCTCCCCATTGCTCCCCACTCCTCCGCGCTTCTTCGCGTTCCTCCGCAGTCCTTCACACTCCTCCGCACGTCTCCGCACTGCTCCGCATTTCTCTGTGCTCCTCCGCACTCCTCACATCCCCCTCCCGTGAGGAAGAGGGAAGAAAGGAGGTGAGAGAGGGATCCGGCTAATCGGCGACACGTGTCTGCACTGTGATCGTGGACCAGCACCTTTAGTGTACCGAGTGACTGCGATGGTGCCGCGCGCTCGATTGCTGTGACGCCATTGTTGCAGACCTCGCATGTGAAAGGTGCATGCGATTGCTCTGACACGATCGCGGTAACATGCGATTTAAATCGCGTGATGCGTTCTGCGTCACAATTTCATTTATGTTTACGGGGGAGGGGGCAACTGATGACAACTGAAGTGGCTGTGATGATGACGACGCTGGTGGCAACAAGTCGGCGACGACGCACGACGACAATGCTGGTGACAATGCATGGTGGCGTTGCACGGCGGCGATGCTAGGCACTATGCATGTGGTAGTGGCGGTGCAGGGCGGCGATTTTGGTGATGAGCGGGGCATCGCAACGGGCAGCGCGCGCGTACCAATCAACCTTGGCTGGCAGAGCCTGGATAGCAGCACGACAAGTGCGATGGCGCACTCACAACGGTGATTGCGTCACCATCGCAATCGCAGGCAAATAAATCTCACCTCCATTGCTGGATGTGGCACTTACTTTCCCGCGACCCCTGTGGCGCGCCAAATGGTCCAGCGCATGTCCGCACCGCAGCGAACGCGACCCTTGTGACACAGTCTCACTATCAACCGGTTTCACCACACATCGTATACTCGATCTCACTATTTTCCGACCTCGCGACCAATTGATCCCACTGTCGATGCCACTAGCGATCTCACAAGCGATACGTATCGATCTCACTATCGATCTCCTTCTATCGGTCTGACGATATATCGAACTCACAGTCGCCCTCACTATCGATATTGCTATCGATTGGTCGATCGATATCACTCTTGATCTCTTGCAACCGATTGGTCGGTCGATCTCACCATCAATCTCGCGACCTTCCTGCCAGCGACCTCGCTATCCATTTCCCTCAATCGGTCTCAAGATCGATCTCGAAATCGCTCTCGTTATCGATCTCACTGTCGACCTCCGCGCGACCACCACAGGACACCGCGGGACACCGCGAACCACGGAACACCGCGGGACGCGCCGCGGGAGCTCCCTCGGATCACCGGCCAGCCAGAACCGGGGTGAGGCCATACTTGAAGCCCCGCTTGGCCCTGGCCAGGGCGGGATCGGTCCTGCCGACCAGCCATACCTGGGGGAGCCGTGGTCCCTACAGTCAACCCGTATAGTAAGGATGCTCGAGAAGGATGCAAGGGCCTTGGAAGCCCATTTCGAAGCTTTTCGAGCGGGGCGCGGCCAACAAAAGTGGCGAAGGATGGACCGAGGAGGCAAGGATGCAAGGGTACCGCTGCGAGGGTTACCCATCCTTACTGTGCGGGGTGACTCTTAAGTGGGGGAGCTGTGGTCCCTACCCCCCTGGGGGAACCCATCGCATCGACGATCTCTCGAGAGGGGCGTCGAAGTCGATGGGCCCCCCCCCCAGGGGGGGGGGGTAAGGACCACGGCTCCCCCGTCTGTGGCTGGCCTGTCCTGCCGCCCGCGCACGCAGCTTCGCCTCGCCCGCGCGCGCGAGACCGAGGCCGAGGCCGTTTCACTGCAGTCGGAGCCCCTGACCTCCGACGGGGACCAGGGGCAGGAGTGAGCCGGAACGAGCCGAGGACGAGAATGAGGAGCCAAGAGGGCGAGGAGACTGAGGCAGAGGAGGGACGATGACCAGGAGGCAGAGAAGGAAGAGCAGGAGGAGGAGGAGGAGGAGGAGGGTTAAAAGGAGGGAGGAGAGATTTGGGTGCCAGAGAAATCCCAAAGAAGAAAGAGGACCAGGGTGTGGCGCAAAAGCCTCTGGAGGTCCACGATGCGGCCACTGGGGAGGTCCCCAGCGGCCCCTGGAGCCCCGAAGAAGTCCAGAACACTTCAACAAATAGAGGCAGAGAACACTACACAAACAGAAGCGCTGGGCTTTGAGAAGCGCCGACTCCCTCGAAGGAGCAAAAGAAAACACCACCTCTCTTGAAGTTGTGCGAGTCTGGCCCAAGAGGCCCCAAAAAACGGCTCCAAGAGCGTGCCCAGACGGGTAATCCGAACGGACATTTCGAGCCCTCGGCCCCAGGAGGCTCCCAGGAGGCCCCAAGAGGTTCCCAAGAGGCCCCCAGAGGCCCACAGGAGGTCCCCAGGAAGCCCGAAGATGCCCCCGAGAGGCCCCCGAGAGGCCCCAAGAGGCTCCCAAGAGGCCCAACAATTTTTTCCCAGAGGCCACCGAGGGACTTCCGAAGAGACCCCAAGAAGCATACCTGAGGACTCTGGCCCAAGTCAGCGTCGTCGTCGTTGCCGCCGCCGCCGTTGCCGCCGCCGTTGCCGCCGCCGCCGCCGCCGCCGCCGCCGCCGCCGTCGTCGTCGTCGTCGTCGTCGTCGTCGTCGTCGTCGTCGTCGTCGTCGTCGTCGTCGTCGTCGTCGTCGTCGCCGTCGTCGTCGTCGTCGTCGTCGTCGTCTCCCTTCAGCGGCGCCGGCCGTAAGGCCTTCGCAATAAAGGGAGAGAACACTGCACACACAGAAGCTCTGGGTTTTGAGAAGCGCCGCCTCTCTCGAAGGAGCAAGAGAACACACCACCTCTCTTGACGTTGAGTGCGGGCTGGAGGGGCCTCGCCGAGCTGGGCGTTGAAGACAAGAAGAGCAACAAAAACAACATAATGATAAACTTGCGGAGCTCCGCGTGGATTTCTTGAATCGGCGCTGGACCCGCGTCCCTGTCGCGCTTAGCGCGCCAGGGGCGGCGCCGGGGGCTCCGCCAGGGAGGCCCAGCGCCGATCGAAAAGGTCCGCGCTGAGCTCCGAAAACTTACGCATGTGTATGCAGTTTCTGATGTTCGGAACATCCTCTCTGCGTCGTCGTCCCCCTCCTGGAGAGAGAGCCTTCTCCCCGTCGATGTCGATGTCCAAATAAACCTTGCGCTCGCGGAAGCCCGGGCGCCAGGGTGCGAGGGGTGCGGTAGGGTGATCAACAAGTGGCGAGAGCGGAGGGGTGGGCGGGGATCTGTTCTTGGAAGGGGAGGCCTCTCAGATTGGCCCCCGAGGTAGAATGCCAACGCTAGCCGGATGAATCGCGTCGGCTAGCGCGCTGTAGTTTGAAGGCTGCGTGGCCTTCGGAATCTCATCGATGACGATGCTTCAGAGGGGGGACGTACCGGAGGGATGGAGGAATGACAGGGAGGGCAGGAGGGGAATTGGAGCGTGGGGGGGAGGGGGGGGAGACTCGCCATCGCTCGGACGTCCATGCCCCGTCCATTAGTTTCGACTTCGCGCGTGCATTTTTTCGCAAGATGATCCAATATGCTCGTCGATGGTCCTCGCCGAGGAAAAATACACACGTCCGAGCGATACCAAGAAGAGAGGTGCCAGGAAGAAGAGGGGAGGCAGCGACGGCCACGTGCTCGCAGCGGGGGGGCGGGGCTGGCCGCGGCGACGCGGATGGTCCAAGCGCCGCCTCTGTTTGGAGTTGTGCGAGGCTGGCACGGAGAGTTCGGCAGCGAGCCTGGGGGGGAGGTGAGAAGGGGCGGGCCTTCTCAGAAGGCTCGGAAGTCCCCCAGCCTTCTGAAAAGTTGTCTATGTCTTCCCCGAAGACGCAGAAAGTTCTCAGATGGCCAGAGCGCTTCTGAGAAGCTCCGCCGCCTTCTCAGAAGGCAGTCTCCTCCTCGCTTCCCACCCTCGCTCGCCGCCGAAGAGTGGAAGAGAGTGGAGGCTGGCTGGGCCTAGTCTAGCCTGGCGAAAGATACTATAGGAACAAAAAGCTGAGTAAGCATAGAACTCCCCGCGGACTTCTTGCATCGGCGATGGACCCCCCCTCCCTGGCGAGCGAAAGTGAGCCAGGGGCCGAGCCGGAGGCGCCGCAAGGGGCCCAGCACCGATCGAAGAAATCCGCGCGGAGCTTTGAAAGTTTACCGTCGGGAGCTTTTGCATAGTGTGTCGCGGCGGCGGCCCTGGCGTTACGCTATGCCTCGCGAGCGCATCGCGTGTTGCTCCGCTCCGCGGGGCGGGGGGCTCGGAGAGACTCGGGACGTTGACGCTGGGGGACCAGGGAGTGGATGGCGTGTCGGGCCGAAACGAGCAGCGCGACACGCTATCCGACACTTCCTGGCCGTGTGCTCGTTCAGCGTGCGCTGCAAGCGGCGCGCAGTGCGCTCCCCGGCTCGCGGCCAGGAGGGCCACAAGCAGGCCCTCGACGCCGTGTCAAGGCCTCGGCGCTGCGGCCTGTGGAGCCACTGGCCCCGTCCAGCAGCGCGGGAGGGAGAATGCCAAGGCTTGGTGTTGCGGATGCCTCATCCCTCACACACACACACACACACACACACCCCTGGCCTCCCCCACCTCCACCCCCTCCTATTCCTCCCCGCCCTCATATTTCTCCTCTTCCTCCTCCCCCCCCCAGCTCCGCCGCACACTCGCCATCGTGCTGCCCCCATCCCGACAGCAAGAAGCAAGGCTGATGCTCCAGGGTCCCCTCTCGAAGCGTTCCACCAAAGAAGCGTTAGACGTGCGGATCAAGAAGAGGAACACACAGACAAATTCGTAGTGTGCAGAACACCATTGTTCTGCTGCTGCTGCTGGTCCTCCTCCTCCTCCTCCTCCTCCTCCTCCTCATCCTCCACCTCCTCTTGCACCTCCTCTTGCACCTGCTCTTCCAGCTCCTCCTCCTTCTCCTCCTCCTCCTCCTCCTCCTCCTCCTCCTCCTCCTCCAGCCTCCTCCTCCTGTTGCTCCTGGTCTTACTGGTGCTGTTCCTCCTCCTCCTCCTCCTTCTCCTCCTCCTCCTCCTCCTCCTCCTCCTCCCTATCCTCCTCCTCCCTCCTCCTCCTCCTCCTCCTCCTCCTCCTCCTGCTCCTCCTCCTCCTCCTCCTCCTCCTCCTCCTCCTCCTCCTCCTCCCCCTCCTTCTACTTCCTCTCCCCCTGCTTCTGCTCGCGCTCCTGCTCCTCCTCTGCTCTTGCATGCCTTCCCCCTCGTCCTCTTCCCCACGTACCTCCTCCTTTGCCTGGAGGCCGGCGGGCCGGGGCGTGAGCGGGGTGCCCGGCCGGCCCTCGAAGGAATGCCAGCCCGAGCACAGCTAATTGTTCTCATAGGGGGCAAATATACGGGTGGCGCTGCGCGTCCTGGAGAATTCGCGTCGCCACGGCTGGATTCTCCCCGGAAGGCTAATCAGAATCGGGCGGGGGGACTCAAATGGGAGGTGAAGACAAGGGCCCCTTTGAGGCCTTTTTTTTCACCCCCCATTTAGGTCACCCCCCCGTTACCACCCGCTCGACAGAATGCACTCCAGGAGAGGTCCGGGGAGCAGGCATATCAGTACCTTGTCGTCCCCGCTATGCCCGCACGGGACACGAGTCGTGAATACCATGACAGGTTCTTGAGGTGCCCTGGGACCAATAATCTCGCATAACTGATGTGATTTGAGCGCTGCTTCGCAACTGATCCGATTCCGATTCCGATGCCCAGTCCTCCCTCCGTCCCTCTTCCCCATTGTGTGTCTGCCGCTTCGCTCCCTTGCCACGTACTTCCGAGCGATGAGGCTCAGGTCTGTATCGCAGATGTCCCCTCCCTCCCTCCGCCCCAGGCACTTCTTGCCTGATAGGGGAGGGCCGGCGAGCGAGAGAGGCGATAGTGGAGGGCCGGTGAGCGAGAGCGGCGATCGCGTCAGGAATATTGGTGATTGATCGTGCGTCTGTAGCTCCGCTCACATTCCGCGTATTCGGCCGCGAGGTGAGGTTTCAGGTCTGCGTTCCAGCCTATCTCTATCCTCCTCGGCTTCATTCATCACCATCCCTCCCTCCGCCCATCCTCCCGAGCGCCCTGGAGGGAAGAACACGTCATTATGTTGTCGCTGTAGCGCTTTCCGTCCAGTTGCCCTTTATGGAGGGTGGGGGGTTCAGTGAGGTTTGGGGGGGGGTTGGACTCCTTGCCCCTTGCCTCGGTTCGACGCGTTCCGTCCGCTCTGTCGAGGGGGTCCCATCGTACTGCACTGCACTTGCTTTCTTGGTGCACGTGCAGAAATGTTCAGATCGCCAAAATATTCTGCTAGCAGAGACGCCGTCCCGTCTCGACAGGCCTTGAGCTTCGATAAGTTAGCAGTGCAAAAACCCTCTTCCCCCTCCCCCCCACCCCACCCCGCCTCTTTTCTCACTTCCCCTCCTCCGTCCCCCTCCTCCCACTCCTTCCTCCGTCCCCCCGCTCCCTCCTTACTCCGCCCCCGCCTCCCTCATTCCCCCCGCCGTCCCCCTCCTTCTTCCATCCCCGCACCTCCTCCTTCTTCTCCCCCTCCCCCCTCCTCCATCCCGCGACCTTCCCGCCCTCCCCACCCCCTTATCATCGCCTCCTGCACCTCCAGCTCCACCCCCCAGGCGCCCTAGCACGGACGAGGCAATTGCTTGTCGTGCCTCCGAGTGCATTGCGGACCCCACCAGCGCCTTCAAAGCCCTGAGCTGAGCCCGTCTGGGGGACCAGTCAACGATACCGCTACTCCGCGGACTTCTCCTGGGGCGCGCTCTGACCAGCACGTCGAGGAGAACCTGGCCGTGGCGGCCAGGGCTCTCCAGGAAACGAGCAGCGGGCTCGGCACCTTTTCCTCCTCTGGCCCTCCCCCGGACCACCCAAGCCAAAAAGCCCCCCCCCGCCGCCGCAATCGTCCCTGAGATCCGACGCTGCCCCCCAAAATGCAAAATCGCGAAAAATCACGACCGGAACCCACCACCCTTCTGTGCGGGACGGGAAAATGACCACAGCCACTGCTTCTTGTTTGCGCCGCCTTCCAGCTGGCCGAAAAAGAAGCAGTGGTTGTGGTCATTTCCCTGGTGCCAAGCTCAACGAAAATGACCACAACCACTGCTTTGTTTCTGCGGGCTGGAAGGCGGCAACAAAAGAAAAGCAGTGGCTGTGGTCGTTTTCACGCCCCGTATTCTGTGGCATCTGCCGCGCTTCAGCTTTCGGGGCCGCGATCCCCGCTCGCCATCGCTCGGACGTTCATTCCCCGCGCTTGTTTCGATTTCGTGCGCTTTCTTTGCTCGTGAGGTGGCCCTCGCCGAGAGAAGCTGCACACGTCCGATCGATGCCAAGCCCGCAGGCGGCGCGCCTTGCACGAGCCCTCCGCCATCGCCCCCGCGCGCGCGCGCGCGCGCGCCCGCGCGCCACCCGGGCGAGGACGGGGCGCCACGAAAACATCTACACGGACACCCTCCGACGAACTTTGCGCGTACCCCCCAGCCGAGGGCGGCGGTGTAGAAAGTCGCCGGCTTCCCACTGTGAGGAATACACCGCCTCCCTCCCCCGAGGCCCAGGGTTAGGTCGGGCACGTCCCCCTACGGGGGGGCTTTGGAGGAAAAATTGCAAATTGTCCAAACATACCCCAAAATGATCGAAAATGCTCAGAGAATCGTCCCCAAACTATTTTTTCATATTTTTTGGATATTCCTCCTGTGGAGGGACAGGCCCGACTTACGCCCAGGGTGTCTGTGTAGGTCTTTTTGTGGCGGAGGCGGGGCGCTGTGGGGCCCGCCCGCGCCGGCGGGAGCCTCGCGGCGGCGCGCCTCGAGGGAGCGGCGCGCCCCAGACCTCCGACGGCTGTGGGCCTCTGCAGTGCGGGCCCGGAGGGTTCCGAAGGAGGTTTTCCGGGAGGGGGTTTTCCAGGGAGCCCCCCCCAGGGGCCTCGGAACCTTGTCAAAACAGGGGGTGCGAAGCCCCTGGGGACCCCTCCTGGAAAACCCCCTCCCCCAAACCCCCTTTGGAACCCTCCGGCGGGCGCTCTTCCTCGAGGTCGGTCCCCAGGGCCTGCTGCTGGCCTTTGGGGCCCTGGGGTAATCAGGAGCTTGCCATCGCTCGGACGTTCATTCCCCGTGCATTTTTCGATGTCGTGTTTTCCTGCTTTTTTCGCAGGATGATCCAGGATGCTCCTCCAATGACCCCCGCCGCAAAACAAATGCACATGTCCGGGCGCTGCCGAGTCAGAAGCGGATCGAGGACGAGGAACTGCCCCCCTGAGGCCGCGGAGGGGCGATGTCTGGCCTTCTCAACGCGCGGCGCTCGTCCTCGGCGGCCTGCCGGGGTCCGCTGCTGGGCCCCGCAGGGCCGCCCGAAGCAGATCGGGGTCGAAGAACTTCCCCCTCCGGGGCGGGGTCGGGGGCCAACACTCCCGAATGGGGCACCCTCGCCGCCGCGGCTGGACGCGGCTCGGCAGGCTGGTGCGTCCTTGCCCGGGAGTGGTCCGGGGGCCGACCGGCCTCGAGCCGCCGCTGCCGCAGCTCGCCCACGCGCGGCGGCCCCTCCGCCCGGAGAGGCATGCCCGGAGGGAGCCCTGGGGCCGCGGGCTGGAAGCAGAGCAGGGATGTCTGGGGCGGGTGGGGCTCATCAGAGGGGCCCATGGGGGGCCTCTTCGAGGCCCTGCGGGCTCGCAGGCTGGACGAGGGGGGGGGGGCTTCTTGGAGGCCTTCGGGCCCAAGGGGGCTTCTGAGAGGCCCTTCGGGCTCGCAAGAGGATGAGGGGGGGAGGTTCTTGGAGACCCCCAGGCCTTCCCAGGAAGGGCCATGCCTTCTCTGAGAATCCGGGCCCTCAGCGTCTCCTGGGAAGGCTGGAGGCGGCTGCGCAGACCCGCTCGCGCCGTGGGGAGATCGACTCGCACAGTGTCTGGCGATTTTCGCTGGGCCCCGTGGCGGTTCAAGACACGACTCGGGGTGCACAAAGCGCGTTCCCGGGGAAGGGGGTCGAAACCTCCAGGGGCCCACGTCGGAGGTCTGGGGAACTTGCCCGAGCGAGGGCCTGAAGGCTTCAAGGAAGGGCCCATATCGTTCCACGAGCCCAGAAGACTTCCCACAACTCCCTCGCATTCTTCGAACCCCCCACTTATCTCGACACCTTCCCGGGGGCCGTCTTTCGCGCCGGATCCATGTCTGCTAGCCCCGGGGCCCGAGAAACAGGCCCTAGGAGGCTAGGAAAGAGAGAGAGAGAGAGGCGCACAGGCAAGGGCAGAACTAACAAGATGATCCGCCCGACCCCTCAGATCCAGCATTGAGAAAGGTTGCCTTCGGGAAAATCACGACTGAAGCCCTGGACTCGATCTTTCTGCGGCATTCTGCGAATCGCATCGATCTGTGGTGGGCCCTGGGCCCGAGCCCCAGCGAAAACTCGGGGGCGTCCAACAGGGGGGACGTCCAAGAGAGGGGTTCGCAAGTCATGGCCCAGGCCACGTGCGCGGCCGAGGGTGGAACCAAGGACCGCATTGATAAAGGAAGAGGGGCACAGGAAGTCAGGAGAGGCCCCAGCCATGACATGTCGCCGCGCCATTTGTTCTCGACGCACCCAAGAGGAAGGCGCCGACACCACGGCAAACCCACGTCAAGCCCTGCGCCCCGCGCCCAAGGAGACGAAGCCGGCACCGCGGCAAACCCACGGCAAACTCTGTCTCCGAGGCGGCGTTTGCCCTGGTGGCAGCGCCGTCCTCCCCAAGGCGTAAGGCCGCGCGCCGGAACTAACGGCGCGGCCACATGTTTAAATCGCCCCCCCCCCCCCCCTAGCCATCACCCCCCCTTTGGACGCCCCCGAACAAAAAGCCTGGCGTGTGAAAATGTGCAGCGCCTGGATCCCAGCGAAGGTCCAGGACCATGCCGCCCCCTCTGTGCGCGCAGCCGAGCGTCTGCCGAGGCCTCCCACATGGGGTTCGCGCTGATGAGGTCGGGGCACCGCGACGCTTCGCCGATGCATGGGCGATGCGTCGGTGATGCAGCGGCAACGTCGGCCGTGCATCCGCGACGTCGGCGTGGAGAAGCTCGGGTTCCACATCGAGCCCCCTCGGCGATGCATCGGCAATGCGGCGCGATCCTCCGACCCCATCTGCTCGGACCCCACCTGGGAGGCCTCGACTCTGGGGGGTCAGCCCCCCCCCCCTACGTAACTACTCGCCGCGTCCCGAGCCGGAGGCGGGCCGCAGGCTCCCGCGAGGGCGGGGCCCAGGCGGTGAGCGGCGAGCAGCAAGGGGGCCTCACGCGCGAGGGCACACCCAAACATCCGGCGTCGCGAAGAGGCAGCAGCACGGACATGCCTCATCGTTAGCGGCCTCTCGGAGCCCTCGCTCAGCCTCGGGAGCGTGGACAAAAATATCAAGGATGGCCCCAGGGAAGGATGTCGAGAGGTCGGGGGCCCGTGTCTCAAAAAACGAATGTCTGGATATCGACCATACGCCGCAGCTTGTGCGGCCGCCAGTAGCACGCGACATTGGAAACGAGGGCATTCACGCGCGATCTTTACGTGGACAGCTTACGAGCCAGTGCCCGCGCAGATCACCCCGTGTTTCTGTGTCGCTCAGGTGACCTCTTGTGTGCGGCTTTAGGGGGGCCGCAGGGTGAGATGCAGGGATTTATGCATGACAACCGCCTGGGGGATTGACCTTCGTTGACCTTGACAGGCGGTGGGTGTGGATATCTTTGCCCCCCCCCAGGGCCCGAGTAAAACCAGACCCACCGCCTGCAGAGGTCCAGGAAGGTTGGGGTCCCAAGCGGTGGTCCTGGGTGCACCCCGGCCTCAGCGAGATGACCTTAGGCGCGCGGCTTAATTGAGGGGGCCGCCGGGGGAGGCAGCCAGCGCCTCTGATCGAGCGGCCCTTTGGGGCATCGGGATGCCAGTTTCGGGCATTGGGGCCGCCCAGTGCGGGGGGGGAGCCCAGTGTTAGGAGGCAACTACTGGGAGGTCTTCGCCGGAATGATTAAGGAGGATTACGCCCCATTGGGGGGCTGTTACGCCGGAGTGGGCCTCGGACTAAGCAGGACTAAGCCGGATTAAGCGGGATTAAGCCGGATTAAGCGGGAGTAAACGGGATTCAACCGGATTAAGCCAGCCTTCAGACCAGGGCAAAATCAAAATTTTACCTCCCAGGAGTTGCATCCGAACCAGTGGGTCCGCACCGAAGGTCACTCTGCGGAAGGGTCACTCTAACAAGTAGCCGAGAGAGGGACAGGAGGACCGAGGAGGAATCGGGGGCCGAGGATCGAGGACCGAGGATCGTCGACGCCGTCGGATCGGAAGCTTTGGGCGCTTCTGGAGCGTCTCCTCGCCACGGCAGGACCCAGCTCGAGGAACTCGCTATGACTGTGTACCCCGGGAGGGGACTGGACACAGATTTTGAGCGAAGCTTGGTCGGGGATCCCAAACCGAGGATCGATGCTTCTGTTGTGCCTTGGTGGATGGATGCACGGGAGCCTCAAGAGAGGCCTCGGCAGAGAACATGCTGACCCACGTGCTGGGCCTGGTAGATAGTGCTTGGTTGGCTGGCGCGCGTGCGACCCGGAACCGCCAGGAACGTAGAAGAGCACGCGCGCGACCACCTTGACCGGACGTGCATTCTCACAGGAACACCTTGACCAGACAGACCGCTGGCGGGAGGCGCGGCGCAGCACTGTTCCAGAAGAGACAAGACTGACTTGATCGGCGCTCGCCACTGGCATCGTTTGATGGGGAAAAATCAAGAGAGGCCTCGGACCCCCCGAGACCCCTGGCGTCGCAAGAGAATCGGCTCTCCGGCTCTGGGCCGCGAGGCCCAACCACAGCGCAGCCCGACCGCCCCCTCCCCCCCGCTCGGAGAAGAGCGAGTTGAGACACTGGGAGCCCAAGATCGGCTCAAAATCGGTCCCCAGACCCCTCCCGGGGTCCACACGCACCAATTTTCCGGGACGCGTCCAGCCGTGGCGACGAGGGGACCCCCCGAAGGCCAACCACCGGTGTCTCGAACGGCCTTCCGCTACGGCCCCCCCCCCTCCCCCGCCCCTGCACGCACGGGGCCGATCAGGTCCAGGGCGTCCGGGGCCCACGTCGCGAACTCAAACCGTGACGCCGGACGTCGGGGAGCGCGCGAGGGACCCCACTAGTTCCTCGTCGTCGTCGTCGTCGTCGTCGTGGTCGATGTCGTCATGGTGGTCGTCGTCGTCGTCGTCCTGATGTAACCCCGTCGTCGCCGGTCGCTGCCCCCCTACACCGTCGTTAGGACGGGGTCAAGATCGGACCCGGGCAAATCGGGGATCTGTGAGATCCAGCGACGCGGAAGGATGTATGGCCGCCGCACCCTTCTCAGAGAGCGCTCTGGAACGCTCTAGGAAGGAGCGTTCCCGAGTGCTCCAGAACGCTGTAGCCCTGTCCCAACTCCCCTCCGTCGTCGCCGTCGCCCACGTCGCCGCCGCCCCTGCATCGGTGGCTCCGCCCTCGTCGTCGTCCTCGCGGAGCGCGCTTCTCATGGAGTTCAGACAAGTTCGCCTGCATGGAAGTCATTGAATTCAGCGTCGCCCAAACCCCCCTCTCGCCCCTCCGCCGATGAAACAGTGCTGGGCAGAAACGGCGTGCATGTGAGTTTCGACGTGCGTGAAATCCAGAGTTCCTTCAGGGCCTCGCCAGTAACAGGGAATCTGTCGACCCCTATCCCAAGCTTCGTGGAATTTTCGACTGGACCAGAAAATTGTGGCCCAACCCTGGGATATACGATGGGGGGCGCCCATCCTCGATAGAGGTGCGTCCTATCAGCCTGGGGTGTATCCCCGAGTTCCCTTTCTTTTTTGAACGGCTTGACCTTTCGTGGAAAAATTTGGGGGCTGGGGCAGGAAATCGCCTGCGACCTACCCCTCCATGCAAGCGCCCGCCGGTCGGAAGAGATGGGTAAAAAGCATGAAACAGAAGGCGTCGGAAGTAGATTGGACTTCCGCCCGCCTTTTGAAGAGGAGGGAAGAGGGGAAGCCGCTCGACTCTTAAAGTAGGAAGGCGCCTCAAATAGAACTGGCGTCTGGGAGCCCAACAATTTCTTCTTTCAACGACCAGCGTGTAAACTTGCCAGGTCCTTAAACAACCAGCCTCCTGCAGCCCCCGCCGCCCTGGCGGGCCGCCCGCCGGGCAGCCCCCTCCTCTGCTATCCGCCGCTCTCTCTTTCTCTCTTTCTCTCTTTCCCTCTTTTTCTCTCTCTCTCTCTCTCTCTTTCTTTCTGTCTCTCTCTCTCTCTCTTTCTCTCTCTCTCTCTGTCTCTGTCACTGTCTCCCTCTCTCTCTCTTTCTGTCTTTTTTTCTCTCTCTCTCTCTCTCGTCGCTCGTGGGGCTGCGGCGAGGGCCCGCCGCTCGTCGAGGGGGGGGAAGGGGCGGGGGGGCCCGCCGACAGCAGGGCGAGAGGGCTGGCCCGCTCGCGCACGCAGCGACGGCCGACGAGGAGGACGAGAAGGAGAAGGGGGAGGAGGAGGAGGAGGAGGAGGAGGAGGAGGAGGAGGAGGAGGAGGAGGAGGAGGAGGAGGAGGAAGGAGGAGGAGGAGGAGGAGGAGGAGGAGGAGGAGGAGGAGGAGGAGGAGGAGGGGGGGGGGCAGGAGGCGGAGGAGGAGGAGGCGGAGGAGGAGGATGAGGAGAAGGAGGAGAAGGAGAAGGCGACAACCTACATATCTCACCCATCCCTTCCCAGTGCGCCATCTTTCCTAAGTCCACAGACGCGTGTCATAGTGGACCTGGATTTCAAACAACAGCAGCAACAACAACAACAGCAGCAAGCACAGCAACAACACGAAACACATCCACAGCAAAAACAACAACAGCAGCAACAACGACAACAACCACACCAGCAGCAACAACAACAGCGCCAACACCAACACCAACACCACCAACAACAACACCAATCATTATAAGACTGTTCGCTCTTACTTGCCCTCGTGTCATTCGAAACGAGTTCTCCCACACTCTCGATACCCGCCCTTTTGGTCTTCGACCACACCCACTTTGGAGGATTATTTCTCTTTGCGGGGGGCGGCGGGCTTAGACAGGCGGGCAAACCTGAACGGGCGGACAATTCTTCGTGGGCGTACATGTGCCCGCCATTGGAGTTGGTGTGGGCCCTGCAAAAAAAAGGAGGGGGAGAACGAGGGAGAGTGGGAGAAAGGGAGGGGTAGGGACGAAGGAAAGGGAAAACGCCAGGAGAGAAGGAGCGAAGAGAGGGGGCGGTTGATTAGAGGCAGAAAGAGGGAGAGAGAGAGAGAGCAAGAGAGGAGAGAGAGAGAGAGAGAGAACAAGAAACAACAACAAGACATATAAGAGAGGTAGAGCAAGCGAGAGAGAGAGAGAGAGAGTGAGAGGAAACAAACAAGAAAGGACGGCGGAGGCAGGAGAGGAGAGGGAGAAGGGAGGAGGGAGAGGAGGGAGAGGGGATAGAGCAGAGAGGCATAGGCATAAGGATGAGGGACAAGAGGAAGGAGAGAGAAGGGAGGAGAGGAGGGAGGAGGGACAGGGAGGAGGAGCAGGAAGGTAAGAGCGTGAACGTTTGAGGAAATCATCGCGGCGAAAGCCCCGGGCAGGTGTGACATTCAAGCGGGATGCCTGAGTATGGCGAGAGCGCGATTACCAAGTAAATTGTAACGGCGTCCTTGGCGCAGCGTGTTTCCTGAGCGTCGACAGCGCTATTTCTGAATAAATTGCATGGGTGCCACAGGCGAGAGCGCAATTCCTGAATAAGATGTGAAGGGTTCTCTGGCGGGTGCGGGAGCGAGGAAGTTTTGATTCAATTGCGAGGAAGTCTCTAGCGGGAGCGCCGTTCCTGAGTAAATTGCGAAGAGGTCTCACACGGGAGCGGGGGTCCTGACTAAATCGCGAAGAAGTCACAAGCGGGAGCACCGATCCTGAGTAAATTGTTGTGAGGACGTCTCAGGAGCGGGGGTCCTGAGTACATTGGGAGGAAGTTTCCGGCGGGTGCCGTTGTTGTTGTAATCCTGGGGGCCAGGGGCCCAGTTTGAGCACCAAGACTTTCCCTGTCAAAAACAGGGTGCGAGCGTCGATGGCCACACTTTGATTGAGAAGAAACAATATGCACTGGTGAGGGGGATCAACAATACTTAATTTTCAAAAGTAAGAGTTCAACAGCAGCAACAACAACATCGTGAGGGGCCATGCGCAATCTGAAGGATCAGGACCAGGGGGCGAAACGGGGAGAGGGGGGCGAGCAGGGGAGAGGGTTGGGGGGAGGAGAGGGCGGACGAAGAGGAAGGCGAGTGAAAGGGGGAGGGTGAAGCAGATGAACGGATGAAGGGGAGGAGACGGAAGTGGCCCCCCCTCGTAACTAACCAAACCATCCTCACAGCTGATCCCCGCTGTCGCCGCCCTTTCTGCGCATGCACGGTCGCGGTGGCGGAAACCATCCTCGGCGGGGGCTTTTGCTTCACCTCAGAGGGAAGGCGCCGGGGCAGCCTAAACAACATGGATTGTGAGCTTCCACCCTGGTACACGCACGCACTTGGAAAGGGAGGAGGAATGGGAAGGGAAGGAAGTGGCGAAGGGAGGGGACTGGCCTTCATAATATCAGCTGTTACCGGCTGCCCCGGTGATAAAGGATCAGTGCGAAAAAATTATGCAAGCAGACAGACCTGTCGATTAGCGCGCCCGCCAAACGCTTCAGCCCGAAGCGGGCACGATGCCTGTGCGCACACGGACCCTCCCTCGCACCTGCTCGGGGGCGTGCACGAGGGAGCACCCAAGAGGGGGCTTAGCAGAGGCACGTGGCCCGAGGCACGTGGACGAGTGGGGGGCCCCGGGACGTGCCGAAAGAAACAGAAGGGGCCACGGCATCCAAGGAGATATGATGGCCCCGCCCATGGCATACCCCCTCCCCTGGGATCCGACAGTGCAAAACGTGATGCCAAAGCCCATGGGCCTCATCTTTCCGAGCCATGTTTCGAGCCGGCCCGATCTGTGAGGGCCCCGAGGCCCGAGCTCGGGGGCAAACGCGCGGTGCGAACAAGACTGCGACACCCAGATCCGAGGCCCCCCCGAGCCACCACCCCACTCTCGGCCGCCCCCGCGGCCCTGCTCTGCCAGACAAGGCCGGGGAAGGCCGCACCGGCACGGCACGCCCCAGAGCCAACAGAGCAGAGGCGGGCGCGGCGACCAGCCGCGGCGCCACGCCCCAGGGAGGCCGCCCCCGCGAGAGGCGCCGTGGCACCCGCAGCAGGCCGCGGCAGGCCGCGAGGGCCAGACGCCGCCTGGGCCTCGTGCCGCTGCCTCCGGCGGCTCCCTCTGCAGCAGGGCCGCGGCGCGCGCCCCGGTGAGACTCTGCGTGGAGAGGAGGAGGGCGACAGCCACGACCAAGACTGCACGCGAGACCCTGGCGCGCATCAAGGCCACCATCGATTCGCCGACGGTCCTCGCGAATCGGCAACGGCCAGCATGAATGGCCAAGATCGGCGCCGTCCAGAGTCCAGATCCCGCGGCATCTTGGTCGTGGTCATCGTGGTTCCTCCCTCTACTGCAGCGTGCAGCGCCTAGAAGCGGGTGAACCCTTCCGGGTTCCCAGCCTGCGTGCCGCTGCTGCTGGCGATCACCTCTCGAGCGCTGCTGCCCATCCAATGGGTGGTCATCATGATGTTCTCCCGCTCGGATTCGCCAGTCAGCATGGGCAGCCCCGCTGGCCTTGGGCACGCTGGTATTATCTACGGACACGTGCTTTGGGGCTGGAGTGTTAGAATGTTTTCGTAACTTTGCCCTGGTGCTACATGTTCTTCGCTCCACGGATTGTGCCTCCGCCGTTCTTGTGCTACTCTGCTGTTCCGCAACGCGACCTGGACCCTCTGGCGCTGGGCGATCGCCAACGCCGCGACAAAACACATCACATGATTTCGCTCTGCCGCCTCTGAAGGCTTAAGATGGCCCTCTGCTGGAGCTCGTCCGCCATGGGCGGCGCCCAGGCGTCCAAGAGGCACCCCAAACAACGGCAATGCGGCCGCCGGCAAGAGGAGCCCAACAAGAGGACCTCTAGACCGTCCGAAGACGACCCCAAGTCTCCCCAAGACGTCTCTGGGCTCCCTTCCTGGACCAGGCCCCGCACGCCTTCCTCCACGACTCCTCTTCCCCTATCCCTATCCCAACCCCCTCTCTCGGGTGTTGCTAGAAGTGCTCCTAGCCCAGGGTGCCCCCATGAAACTCCTGTGTAACCCAGACGGCCTCCAGAGCACCCCTCACGAGGCCCAGAGGGCACCAGGGGCACCGAAATGGAGCGAGAAGTTGGGGGCACCTTGGGCCCGGGGCCCTTCTAGCAACACCCGACTCTCTTCCTCCGCCCTCCCTCCTTCAGGGCGCAGGCCCGCGACGAGATGTCCTGCGGGCCGCCAGGGTCGTGTGCGCGCTCCCCCGTCGGGTGCGCGCCCTGGCCGGCGCCAGCCGCCGCTCGCGCCGCAAGGCGCTGACGACGGGCCTGTCGCCGCCCTCGCGTGTCGGTCGAGGCTGCTCTGCTGCGCTGGTGCGGCGCCGGGGGGGAATTATGCGGCCTGGTCTGGCCGTTGCCCATGGCGCGGCCGACGCGGCGGCTGGCCGCCGCAGCTCACCGTGCTCACTCTACGTACTAGCGGCCTTGCGGATTGGCCGCGGTTCGCAGGTTGCTCAGAGTTCTAGGGGTCCCAACGGCTCAGGGGTCCCAGCAGCAAGCAAAGAACAAACAGCAAAGCATATATTTCATCACTGTTTTGCATAGCGCGGTGTTCCCCGCAGGGCCCTCCAGTGCCAATGGCAAAGGAGGTCGCCCCACCAAGGCAACTGAATACCGGTCGCCCCAGGGCCCCGGGAAAGGTGCTGCAGGGACGGAAGGCGGAGCCGAAGTCGTGCGCCACCTCCCGGATGCTGGGCCCCGGGAATTCGCGGCGCACGCCAAGGGCACGGGCGCCCGGTCGACGACCACGATGGGCCCAGCAAACAGGTTAGACCCTTGAAAGGCGATAAAGGGGTCGAAGAACCACCCCAGACCCCGTGGGGGCCAGAAAAAGTTGCAATTCGTCGGGAAACGCGCCAGTCACACACACACACAACCTGCAGATAAGCTTTGCCCAATCGGGCCCTCGCGAGATGCCAACGGGGGCGGGGCGGACGCTCTCGCGCAGGTCCCGCTACCACTCCCGGGGCAAAGGAGACCTCGGGCCCAGCGCGTTCTACGCGGTTCGAGGGCGAGTTCGGCAAACAATTCGACAGCCGATATAAGCCGCAAAACCCAATCGGTCGATCTTTTGAAGATAGCGCCCGCCAACAAGATCGAAAACGACTACTTCATGCGGGTTTCTGTTCCTTGAGACAGTCCGGGCTCGGGGGTTCACGGGTCCGGTCCGCCCGCCTGCCGCCGAGAGACAGACCGCGCACGCGGAGTTCGCCGTCTTCCTGATCTGCGCCTCTCTGAGCTGCAGTCGCTCCTTGTTGTGGTCTCCTTCCTGCCAGGCACCAGCGGTCCTCTCCCTCTGCACTGCCGTCGCCTCGGCCCGTCGCTATGTCGGCCGCCGCCGCCCTCCTCTCGTACTCCAGATGCTTCCGCCGCTCGCTGAGCCAGCGGGCCGCCCTCTTGATCGACGAGATTCGCCAGGCGACCACGGCGCACCTCTTCCAGCCGCAGGTGGAGGTCGAGGCTGCCAGTGTGGCGCGGGCCGAGCGCGCTGCGGCGGCTGCTGCAGCCCGACCTGGTGGCCCGCTGCCATGTGGGCATGCCCAGCCCTGAGGTACCCCGTCCCACAGGGGAAGGGGCAGGGGCTGAGCGGCAAGGGCTGGCCTGGACTGGGCGGTGCGCCCGGCCAGAGCGGCCGACGCGTGATGCGCTCGGCATGCAGGTGCGCCGCGCTGGCCGAACGGGGGCGCAGGGACGAGCAGATGAGCGCGGCCGATGCGGACAGCCCGGCTGCGGCTGAAAAGCCCGCGCCTCGACACTGGCGCCTGCCGCCTCGCAGCCAGCCCACCGCGGTGTCAGAGCGGGCGGCCGTGGTGCCAGAACCAGTGCCTGCGGAGCGCTTGGGGCAGTGCGGGGCAGGCCGAGCGCAGAGCGGACACGGCGACCACTCGCCCAACGGCGCAACGGGGGCTGTGTTCTCCGCGGGAGGCTGCGGGTGGCGCCAGACGCAGTCCTGCGCCTGCTTCCCCTGGCCGCCGTGGGCTCACTGTTTGGGGAGCGGGCCAGCCCGCACCGCGTGCGGCTGGTGATGCTGCCGCGTGGCAGCGGACTGCGGCAGCGGCTGGATTGCCCTCTGGCCACCGCCCGCGCCACCGGTGGCCATCGCCTCGCCAGGTCCTCGTCGAGCTCCGCTTGGAGCCGGCTCACCGTCCTCGAGGTCGCCTGCATATCCAGCCAGGGGCTGGGCGGCGCGATCAGTAGAGGTCGACGCCGAGCGTCAGGCGCCAGCAGAGCGGCGCCCAGAGGCGGGATGCAGCGCCGCGTGAGAGCGACGCTGCGAGCATTGCGCTGGAAGCCAGACTGCCTCCCACAACGGCCGGAAACTGATTGCCTGGCGAGGGGGCCGACACCAGATCGCGCGACCCTGCGCCAGCCAGGAGCCTTCGCCTGCCGCACGCCGCGGGCCCAATCTGGCCTCCTGCTAGTAACGAAGGTGGCAATCGGCTCCGTGCAAACCGCAATTGGTCGCTGCGTCTGTCCAGCGCGTGCGGAGCGCAGCCACACTGTGCTAGCTCGCCATGCGATGGTGGTGCGCTGGGCGCCACATTCGTAATTGACAAAGCAGCTGGTGGTGGAGCAACCCACATCGCGCAGAAGGGTCGGGATCGACGTAGTATATTTAGCTCGGTGATGTGCTTCCTACATTCCCGATTGTCAGCCTCCCGACTCAGGCAGCGTCGGCTTCTGTCCGAACTGCGTCGCCGCTTTTCACCACCGTTGAAAGGGCGGGGGGCGGTGGGACAAGGCCGAGGAGGAGGACAAGGAATTTCGTGAACGGTCTGTATCCCAGCCAGCGGTCGCTTTGTCCCCCTTCCCTCATGCTCCCGACCCCCCCCCCCTTTCTCAAACATGATTGCTCTTCGTGCGGTAAGACCGCCACGGACGATCCACGCTACTTCATTCGTGAGCGCACCGTGTCCCCTTTGAAGACAAGTCATGGAAACCTTCAGCGGACTCGGAAGGGCCTGATCCCTGGCCGCAAGGGCCCCTCGAGGGCCACGGTTGCCCACAAGGAGGGCATGATCAGGCGGGAAGCCAGTCTCCGTGGCGGCCTGCCTAGTTCTCTCTTGCTCTGAGTTCGTGAACGCATTACGGTTAGCAGCGATCTCCAGCGAATTCCCATTCTAGAGGCCTCCTGGATGGGGTCAGAGTAGATGTGGTGGGGAGATCGCGCTGTATCGTCGATGAAAAACCATACATCGCCGATGCATCAGCGACGTCGGCGATGCATCGGCGACATCGGCGTGGATGCAATTGGGCCTCGCATCGACCCGCATCGCCGATGTATCGGCGATGCGGCGCGATCCTCCGACCCCATCTCCTCTAAACCCATCCGGGTTCCCGCATGTCCTGTCGACGCTGTCGACCTGGCCCGCTGTTTTCCTCTGCATCTTCAGAGGCGCCAGTGCTGGACGTCCTCTGCTGTGCTCGTTTCCTCAGACACTGCGTGTACCATGCTGTGCTCGATTAAGCTCTGTGGGGCCCAAATCTCCGACGACCCGACGCTTCAATCCGGGCGAATCCCCTCAATTTCGGCTTCCGGGGCCCGCCACTGGGCCCCGGGACCAGGATCTGGGACGAAACGCCATCCCCAGACAAGGGGTCGGAACCTCTGGGGCCGCGCACTTGCAAAAAAACATCGTCGGATGTATGGGGGTCTGGCGCAGGATCATTCGATTCGTTCCAGGTTCCAGGCCTTCTCTTCGCTGGCTGGGCTTCATGTTCGTCATGCACCGGAACCCATACGTCCTGCTGCTCCCTGACCTGCCTCTCAGTGCCCGTGGAGCCCTGGCAGGCTGGGCCTCCAGCGCTTCCGGGGCGCACTACTAGCAAGGCGCCACGATGATGATGACGATGACGATGATGACGATGACTAGAATAACGATGACAACGACGACGACGACAATGACGATGACGATGATTTCATCATCGTCATCGTTATTTTCATCATTCCCGGTCACACACACGCACTCTCCGCCTTTCCCGCAAATCTCGCATGCCCCCGCCACTGCTAAGGAGTGCCCCCACCTCATCTCATGCGCGCCTCCTCCTCCTCTGCCTCCTCCTTCTCCTTCCTCCTCTCCCTCCTCCGTCTCCTCCTCTTCCTCCTCATTTGTTCCTCTTCCTCCTCGTCCTCCTCCTCGGGGCTCCATGGCCTGGGTTTGGTGAGGTGCTGGAACAGCAGATAGCCGCCCAGGGCCAGCGCGCACACCACAGCTAGCCCGGCAACCACAGCGCTCCCGCCCCCTGCGCCTTCTGCATCTAAGTCGTCCTGGGCCATCTCGAGAGAGAGGGTAGAAAGGATGGTAGGAGGAGGGGGGAAGGAGTTGTAGCGGTGTCGGTATCTTCTGGTTTCTCCAATTGTGCTGCCCCGTAGTGCATTCCGGATGGACTGCCTACTGGGTTGCCTGCTGGATTGCCTACTGGATTGCCTACTGGATTACCCCAGGCTCCTGGCTCCTCCTCTGGCGCGTGTGCCAGCTCGCCTCACATGTAGTTTTTCGCTGCCCTCTCCCTTGACGTTCCATCTGGCGTGTTCTTCTCTTGCCATATTGCCCGCCGCCCTCCGAACATGGCTTCTTACCTTGAGATGCAGCATACCATATCCTCTGGGTGTTGCTGCTCTTCTAGAGTGCTACTGGAGTATTCGATATGTAATCTAGCATGTAGCATACCTCCAGTTTGCTGATGTTTGTTTACTGGGGGCCGTTGTTTGTTCGTTTGTCTTCTAGCTGGTGTTCGTGTGCGCCGTCCTGCACCGCTTCGAGCCTATCCACCCTGGCCTGAGCTCCGCAAGCTTGCCTTCGGCACACACTCTCGCGGACCGCCTCAACGCGCTTCCTGACGTGCATTCCGCTTGCCCCCCTTCCCCTCTCCCTGCCTCCCAGACTGCTTGAGGGGGCAATGCGGGGACGGGGCCGGGAGCGATTGGGAGGAGATGGTGGCAGAACATCGGGGGGGAGAAGGAGGGAGCGAGGGCTGCGCATCCCCGACGAACAGCGTCGACCTTCGAGCCTGCTTTCACCACCCTGTCGGGAAACCAAGAGGTACCGATACCGCTACTCCCCGGACCTCTCCCGGAGTGCGTCCTGACCAGAATTTCGAAGCGAATCCCGCGGTGGCGACGAGGGCCTCCCAGGAGGCCCCGGAGAGGGGGAAACAAGGGAAGGGTAGCGGTATCGGTACATGTTCCTTCTCTGACCCTGGGTCCTTGGCGCCGTGGGCGGGCCGACCCCTCACGGCTCGGTTGACGGCATCCTCCGGCGCTTCAGAGATGGGGGGGCGCGCCCGGAGATGTGGGGCCCCCCAGGGCGTGGAGGCCAGGAGCAAAGCAACTTCGCCCCAGAAGCCCGTCCCCGTCCCAGGGCCCCATCCCTCAAGGCCCCATCTAGATGACCAGATATGAATCCTGCCCCGACCTCCCACGAGTTCTAAGTGCGGGTGGGGGCTTAATTCGCTCGGGAGCTTCCGAACGAAGTGAACCCCCACCCCCCTTAGAAATCGTGGAGGGTAGGGGTAGGGTTCACAATTGGTCACCGACCATCTTCGAATCACCGGATCCTGAGGGTTTGCCACCGTTCTCTTGATATCCTCCGGCTTGGCGCCGCGAAGGGAGTGCCCCAAATCGTCCAGACTGGAGCCCCTGATCATCTCGGCGCCGCGCTTGACGCCGTCAGAGTTGGCCAGCTCCAGGGCGTCCTCCAGAAGGCGCGCGAGACGCACCCACAGGTTCACCGCCCTCCCCTCGACCTCTGCCCCGCCCCCCTGTCAAGGGCGAGAGGATGCGAGGGAAAAAAGTAACGATACACGTCGTTCGTTTCTAATCGTGCTCATTTCTAATTGTGCTCGTTTCTAATTGTACCTGGCCCCCTACTAGTGGTCAGGAAGAGGCCCAGGATAGAACAATCAGAAATGAAAGGATCTTACCCACCCAAAAAATCGAGGAAAATTCTAATAATCAGAAATTAACCATGTGTACCGCTTTTGTCTCGCCCTCCCCGGGGGCCCAGACCACCTCGCGTCGCGAAACAAAACGCGGCGGATACGTTTCACTATCTTCGGCCTCTGGGGGCCCTGGCCGGGCCTCGGGACCGTCGACGAACAAAGCAGGGCGAAAACCTCCGTCCCAGGGAAAGTGGTCCGGGCCTCTGGGGCCCACGCATCGAAAAACATTGAGCAGCTGGACGTGTCCTGTGGCGCGAGCTTCGAGGGAAACCCAGCCGCGGCGACGGGAGCTCGCTGGGACGAGCAGCGGCAGGGGCACCGCACGTCCACATGTCCCCCGTCAAGGCTGAATAAAGGGGCCCAGGGACACACACACACACACACACACAAGGAGACGCAACTCCCAGGATTCCCAACATTTTCCAATATATTTCATGGGCTTTCGTCGTCCTCATTTCACTTCCAATATTTTCCTGTATTTTTCTGGGAGTGGACGTTTGTTCGCGTCTGCGTGTTACAGGGAGGACCCCAGAGGTCACCCAGCAGCTGCGCGCCCTGCGCCGCTCGCGGGAGCGCGGCTGTCTTCGCGCCCTCGCGCGCCCTCTTCGGGCGCCCTCGAGGGCGCAGAACTACTCGCGCTCCGCGCTTCGCGGTTCGGTTTCGATCCCTCCCCATCCTCCTGGGTGGGCGGCGCGAGAGCGCGAAGTGCCGCGCTTCGCGCAGCGCGAAGCGCGAAGTGAGGCGCCCTTGCTTGGCCGACGTTCCAGTCCCCAGGACGAGGCCGCCGGTCCCTTCGGAGGGGCTGTGGAGGAAGAAGAAAAACAACTGAAACAGGAGCCTTCCAAAGGTCCGCGCGGATTTCTTGGATCGGCGCTGGGCCCCCCCGGCGGAGCCTCTGGCGCCGCCCACGGCGAGCTCCGCGCGCCACGGAGGGGGGTCCAGCGCAGATCCGAGATAGCAGCGCGGGCCTCCGAAAGCGATTCCAGGCCCGAACGTCCGACGGATTGGCTTCTTCCATCCGCAGCCTCCAGAGGTCTCAACAGCTTCCCCAAAGGTAGCTCCTCGTCCCGGAGCCACTTCTGAGGGCCCCAGGGCCGCGAAGTGGCGCCAGGAGGAGGAGGAGGGGGAGGAGGAGGAGGAGGAGGAGGAGGAGGAGAGAGGAGGAGGAGGAGGAGGAGGAGGAGGGGGAGGAGGAGGAGGAGGAGGAGGAGGAGGAGGAGGAGGAGGAGGAGGGGGCCGAAACCACGAAAGAGCACAAGGATTGAGACGCTCATTCCGCCTGAAGTCCCAGGGGAGCTGGCTCCCCACCCCGAGCTGCCCTTTGACCGCCCTGGGGGGGCTCGGAAGCGGCCCCCCTCTGCGCCCAGAGCTGCCGTATAGAGAGAGAGAGAGAGAGAGAGAAGCCTCTGGCGCGCCTTGTGGCGCCTCCCCCGAGGGCCGCCGACGCAGAGCCACGAACCACAGCAAAACATAGGATTTCGGAGGTCCGCGCGGGGCCTGTGCCGCCGACCCTGAAAGACATCGACGACGACCAGGAGGAGGACCAGGAGGAGGAGGAGGAGGAGGAGGAGGAGGAGGAGGAGGAGGACGAGGAGTACGAGGAGGAGCAGGAGGAGAACGAGGAGGACGAGGAGGTGGAGGAGGAGGAGGAGGAGGGGAAGGAGGAGGAGGATCAGGAGGAGGGGGGGGGCTTCTCAGAAACCCTCCGCGCTCCTGACGGCCCTCCTCACGGAAACCTCCTGTCCAGACATCCGACGCCTTGTTATGTCCACACGTTCCCCCCCCGAAGTCCAGAGCAGACCCTTTCGTCGCGAGCCGTTCTTCTGAGGCTCGGGGGGGGGGGGCGCCGAGGCACCCCCCCCACGGAGGCCGAGGACAGCAAGACGTCCCGCCGTGGTGTTCCTAACAATCAAGGGCCCCAGGACACACAAATAAATACACACAAGTAAAAGGATCCCCCATATCTTTCCATATGTTTAGGGTTTTCGTCTTCCCCCCCACTTCCCATAATCTCTCTTATGTTCTGGGAATCGTCCATTATTTGTGTCTCTGTGTGTTTTCTCCCTCCTGATAACGCCGCGAGCATGTGCTCGCTTCCTTCGCTCTTCGAGCACTCGCTGGGTCCCCTTCCGTCGCGCCGTGCGTTTGTAATACCAAGGAGCTGCGGTCGGACACTTCTGCTCGGCGTGTCGCGGCGGCGGCCCCGGCGACCCGCGCTGCGCCGCTGCGCCCAGCAAGCGGACAGCGTGTCGCTCCGCTCCGCGGGCTGGGAGGCTCGGAAATAGGGGAACGAACTCTATACACCTACGCTTTTTTTTCCGACCCTGCGCCGAAATTCGCATAGGAACGCGGATGCTGGTGTCTACGGGATCCTGGTGTATACATTCTTGCTTGTTTCCCTCAGAAAACGGGGGAACGTATACACCACACCTCCCCGACGTCGCCCACGACCCTCGAAATGCCGTGGGATTGAAAAAACAGCCCGCCACTGGTGATGTATACGTCCCAGTTTCCGAGGACAGGCTCGGGACGTCGAAGCCTGGGGGACCGGGACGTGGATGGCGGGTCGCGCCGAGGCGTGGCGGGCCAGCACCGACGGAGCGACACACTGCCCTGACATATCCCCAAGGAGTTCCCCCGCCCGCAGCGCTCGGCTCTTGGCCCGTGCCCCAGGGAGGACACCGCGAGCACGTGTGGGCCCTCGTCGCCTCCGAGCGCGGGAGGCGGACGTGGCTCCAGCCCAGACCGCGACGCGCAAGGGGCGCGGCCTCTCTGGCGCCCCCGTGGGTGCACTGGGCGGTCAGAGGTCTCAGGAGCCGAGCGTCTCTACAGATCCACCTCCTCGCCCCTGCCCCCTTCCTCCTCTGGATGTCTGCCTCGTTTTCTGGAGGCGGGGGGGGGAACGGGGTGGATGTGTATCGCCGTCAGCCTCCAAGATCTTCGGGGCGGGCGCGGGATACCCCCCGACCGCCTGCACGTTGACGGTCTTTGCCCTGTCGACCAGGTCTGGCTTGGACAGCGTGCCCACGACGCCTCCGAGCTTGTCCGTGGCCTCGCTTGAGCTGCCCAGATCTACGAGATGTTTGCGTTTGCAGTCTTGGCGTGGTTCCTCGAGCTCGGCATCCAGGGGCTCGTTATCGGGCCCCGGGACCATCAGACACGCATATGGGGCGCACATTTCTCCCCGAGAACGTGGCTAGGAGCTCTGGGACCGCTGATTGAATCAACAACAAAAAAACAGCGTCGGGTGTCTGGGTGAAGATCTCAGCCCCCCGAGGCCGGGGCCACTGCCCACAGCGGTGGGCTGCGCGCGTTACTGTTGGTGTGGCCCGCGCGGTCCTCTCCTCCTCTCCTCTTTCGCAGTGGCAGCCGACGGAGTCTGGAGCCCAAGCTGATTGGACCAGCGCGTCATATGATCGGCTCGCGCAGGCTGGTGGCGCCCCCTCGGTCCAAAGGCCCGTTTTCCCCGCCCGAATCCCAGGAGCTGAGCTGCCCCCACAATCGCTGTTCCTGGAGGAGGCAGCGAGCACCTGTTTTGATATAGCCTCGCCCCCCTGCTGTGAGGCTATCGACGATCGAGGCGGACTCGCCACTCACAGTCACGGCCTGCCTCCCGATCTTGAAGATCATGAGGGCTGACCCAACATGGACGTCCTCCATCCAAACATCCGATGTCTTTTTTTGATACGGCCCCCCCAGAACCCCGACCTTTTAGCAGTGGCGGGTTTTTCATCTCGAGCCGTCTTTTACCGGTCCCTGGACCCGGCGACGGCCCCCCGAGGGCGAGAACAGCCGAACGCACTCCGTCGTGATGTTTGTCACGACGCGAATATGTCTGGCTTGCGTCCTCCTTCTTCTCCTCCTCCTGCTCGTCCCGGCCCGTGGCCTGGCCCACAGCTTCCTCCACCGCGGTGCTCGCGGTGCCAGGCACAGCCTTCCCGATGTCCTTGACGGTGACGTCCTGCAGAGTCTCGGCGATTTTCTGACCGTGCTCCGTGACCTGTGTGGGGGAGGGGAAGGGCTGGAGAACCAACCCACGCGGAGATCCGTAGGATGAGCGCGATGGAGGGTTTCTCCTCTGAGGCGAAGGTAGGACAAGAAAAGACCCCTCCATGGCGCGGGGAGCACGCCAAGGGGCCAAGCGCAGATCCAAGAAAGCAGCGCGGACCTCCGACAATGTATGTTTTATGCAGTTTGTTAGAGGAAGTGTCAACACCTGAGCCGATTGGGCAGCGGATGGGGAGAGGAAGGAGGTAAGAGAGGGTACACACCCCCAGGACCTGACTGGCAACGTCCCCGAGCGAACCGACGTCTGCCTTCTTGATCGTCTCCATGACGCTGCTGGCAGTGGCGTCCTTGACGCCCTTGATCAGGCCGCCCAAGGCGCTGTCCTTCACGGCCTTCTTCACGGTCTCCGCCTGCCAAAGTGGCCCTTTTGTCAACCATGCCTGCCATACTTCCTCAACCCTCTCTTTCCATTCCCCTTCACATCACCATCGATATCATTTCCATGCCCCCATCACATCACCACGGCCACCAACGCACGGATCTGTCATATCCGCCACCGTACATCCTGGCAGCTTGAGGCGTGGCATCAGTAACGTCAAGAGCTGCCAAGTAGGGTTGTTGTATGTCTTCGACCCCCCCCCGTTCAGTAGCTCTCAGACGCTACCCCTCCCCTCTCCCGAAGATCCCTGGGCGGCCCGACGCTTTAATGGAGCTCTCCAAGGCCCTCCAGAGGATTCCACTACGACCTGTGAAGGCCATGAATGCCGCCAACATGGCCCCATCTTGCCTGAAAGGGCACCCAACAGTCTAAGCAAAACACCCCAGGGCGCGCCCAAGTAAGCCCCCATGGGCTTTCAAGACACGAAGGAATAGGCCAAGCGACCATCCAGGAAGGCCCAACTCATCTTAACACCTGAAACACCAACAAAGCTAGTGTATGTACATCTGCGTGCCTAGGCAATGCTTCCTAGGAGGAGCCACGCGGAGGCCAAAAGAGCAGAATCAAGCCCTCAATCAGGACAGCCCCTCTCGGGCCTCCTCTCGGACCTCCGAACGGAAGTCCTCAAGATGTCCCCACGGGAGCCCAGGACAGCCCCAAGACAGCCCAAGCAGGCCCTTCGAAAGCCCCATCAAGACTGGAAACGCGAGGTGACACATGCTCGGTCTTCTGGGCGGCGCTCAGAGCGTCGCCACACGGAGGGCTGCGCTGGCGCGCGAGCGCTGCGGCGGAACGTTTGCCGCAGGCAGCTGCATGCGAAGTAGAATTATAGATCTGCGCATCTGCATCAGCACGTGCACGCAAACGTATACTTCTACACGTGTGCACGGGCAAATGCGTGAGCATGCGCGTACGTCAGTTCATCGATGGAGAACAACTGCACATACTTACACCTTCCGTCGCCACTTACACTGTGAGGAAGATGCCAGCGCATGTAACATCTGAGGCAATGATTCCCTGGCCTTCTAGCCTAGCGCCCCACAGGCCTCTCTCCCATGGGGGGGCAAGGAGGCTCACAGTGCGAACATTTTTTCTCACGCGGTGCCTACCTGTTGCATGTCGCCTCCCAGTTCCTCCGGCTGGGATCTGGGACAGAACGAGCCTCGCTGCCCGATGTGGGTCCGACGACCAAATGCCCGAGGTGGACAACACCTTGTTCAAACAAACAATATTTGGTTAAACAGCCTGAGGACCAAACCACGCAGGTGCAAGTCGGCCAAACTGGCGGCTGCATCACCGTCTCGAGGATTGGGGAGACGTTGAACTCGAGTTCGAGGGACTTGGGTTGGCCCGACGGGGCCGTGAGGGAAATCACGAGACCCAGTCCGAAATTCGACGCGAGCTCCCGCTGCAAACATCGCACGAGGAATTGGACCGCCAGCACTCAAAACGGGCCCGTCAAAAAAACGCCGGCCAACCCGAGCATCGGCGAACTCGAGTCTTATATACACGTCGTTCACGTCTAACCGTGCTCGTTTCTGAGTGCGCTCGCTGCTAACTGTTCCTGGCCCCCTAGTGGCCAGGAAGAGGCCCAGGATAGAACAACTAGAGAGGAAAGGACCTTGGCCCCCCCAACAAAAACCAGAGAACCTTCGAAGAAGTAGGAATGCACAAAGCGTGCACGCCCCCCCTCCCCTCCCCGAGGAGGGCCCGCGGAGACAACGGTGGCTCCCCCGCCCGGCCCGCGCTCGCCGAAGATCTCTCACCGGACTCCTGCCGGGAACCACCCCAGCGCGCCTCGGGGCGGATCCGGCCGTGGCGACGAGAAGCCCCCCGGAGGCCCCCAGGAGAACGCGCCTTTTCTGATCGGCGGCCGCGAGGAGCCGAGCAGCGTGCGGGCGACGGCGTGGCGCATCCGCAGCGAACTGCGGCACGAAGGGCGGGGGAGTCGCGTGCGAAGCCCAGGAAGGAGGGCCGGAGGAGGGCCCCGGGCAGGCGAAAGGGGCCGCGCTCAGACCATGCACATCTTCGCGTGCGTGCCGAGGTGCACGGGCAGGTCGAGGTCGAAGCCCATAGAAGTACACAGCATGAGGGTGGAGCGCCGCACGCCGGAAGAAAAAACGAAACACGCCAAAGAAGGCCGCCGTTGACTCGACTTGCCCCACTCCCACGGCACGACTGCCGCTCCGACTTTTCCCAGCCGCGGCCCAGAGATCCCGAGTCCTTCCCCGGGGGCGATGCAAGTGCTATAGCCCTGGAGACCGAAAGAGCCGCCGAGATCGACGGAACACTGCCGTCGCTGCGGGTTGAAGAAGTCCCTCTGTCAGGGCTCTGGGAAGTACCGATCGCCTTCGGCGAACTGACAATGACGTGAACAGAAGAACTCCGAGGTCCGAGCGGAGTCCTCGGATCCACACTGGGGCCCCCTGGCGGCGCCTCCAGCGCCGCCTCTGGCGCGCTTCGAACGCCAGGAGGGGTCCAGAGCAGATCCAAACAATTCGCGCAGAGCTTCGACAATTTATGTTTATGAATGTTTTTCTTCTTCGACGTCTGTCCTCCATCTCCGATCCCTCCCTCCCTCTTCAACCTCACCCTGCTGGGAGAATAGGTGTTACATGAGATGCAGAGGTGTTTTGCATCTGGATCAGCATGGCTTGCGAGTAGGCCACACCCAAAATGGCTAAGCAGTTAGGCAACTCCGCTAAGTGGCTGGAGCCCACTTAGCCTGGATTGTGACCCCGCTTAACCCACTTGGGGTACCTGTTGCCCGCTTATGTGCTGGATTGGGCTAAATATGAACTTTGCATAGCGTGTCGAGGCGGCGGCCCCGAAAACACGTTATGCCCTGTAAGCGGATCGAGTGTCGCTCGGTTCCGCGGGGCGGGAAGCGGCCCAGGAAAGCTCGGGACTTTGACGCCTGGGGACCGCGACGTGGGTAGCGTGTCGCGCCGAAGCGCAGCGGGCCAGAACTGGCTGAGCGACACGCAAAGCCAAAGTTCCTGACCGTAAGTCGCTTGGGGCATCTGTGACCCGCTGGTAAGCCAAGTCTGGGCCAACTGTAACCACCATGGCATCCGCTCACACCCTCTCCGCTCAAGGGTCGAGACTGCCGGGGACCCCGCATGAAGAACAGCAAGACATCGGATGTCTGGGTTGAGGCCGCCCCCGGGAACGCTTCGCGCCCCCGTCAAGGCCGCGCCCGGCCATCTCCTCCGTCAGCCGAGGAGGAGGGGGGCGGGGAGGGGGGGGGACGAGGAGGAAAGGGAGGACGGCTGATAAGCCTACTCCCTCGGCCCCCCCCGCGGCGATCCCGGTGGTGGAAGCCTTGTCCCCTGGCGCGGGGGCCAGCGGCGGCGGGGTCGTCGACCCGCCGGTCTCGGGCTCGGCCTCGCCGGGCCCCGTGCCGCTGCCGGTGGTGATGGAGACCTTCGCCAGGGAGAGGGGGGCACGGCCCAGGCCTCCAACGTATTGAACAAAAACAATGCGGAAGCGTTTCGTCGTTATCAGCCTCCGGGGGCCTTCACGGGGCCGCGGGACTGTCAAATAACGACTCAGATGGGGAGAACATTGTGTCGCGAGCGGAGAACGTGTCCATATCTGCGCTCTCGCGGTCTAGATTACAGGGAGCAATCCCGCGGATACGCGGTCGCACGGATACGTTCCGCGCCTGGCACCCGCGCGGGGAACCATTCATGATGGGGAAAAATCCAGATGGAGAGATCGCTGAGCCATAAAATCTAAGGAACGCGTGGGCGGAAGAGCGAACGACTGGCAATTCTCTGGGGAAATCACCACAGACAGCGAGAACGCGGAGCGCCCCACGACTGCGATGCAGACAGCAGCACGCATCACAACTGCGACGCGGACGAACGAAGCGCAACACAACTGCGAGGTGCAAGAGAGGGGAAGGACACGGTGAGATGGGAAGACGGGGGCAGGAGAGGGGAACTCTCGTGGAACAAAAACATGATTGATAACGTCATGACTTCTTGCGCACGTGTTGGGAGCAATGTTCCCATCTTCTTCTGTATGCGCATCGAGGGTAGTCAGCAATATTCAAACCGTTGGCCTGGTACTCACGAGAGGCCGAAATGATGTACCAGTTACTGATACCTAGATTGTCCAGCCCCCCTACCTCCCTCTCTTCCCCTCCCGTCGGATCGACCAGGAGAGGATACCATCCTTGGGCCGCATGGAGCCCTGAGGCCTCTAGGGCCCTCGCGGGGTGGCCTCCGAGAGCATCCTGCTACGCCGCGTGTTCTCCTGAAGCCCCTGGATCGTCTGGAGGCCTCGTGGCTCCTGCAGCCTCCTGGAGCGTTCTCTCCTCCTCATCCCTCCTCCTCCTCGTCCTCCTCTCCTCCTCGCCCTCCTCATCCCTCCTCCTCCTAGCGCGCCCCCCCTTCGACCCCTTTCCATCCAGAGGTGGGCGGCGAAAGCGGCGCAACGTAGCACTTGTCATGGGAAAGTTCCCCGCCGCGCCGCGACGAAATATACAGCGCGGCCGGCGGCCTCCAACTCGCGGCCCCTTGGGCCCTTGGGGCTTTGCGGGGGGGGTGCTCCTCCTGGAGCCGCCTGGGCCCTTGCGGGTTGGCCTCCTGGAGCCTCCCGGGGCATCGCCGGGTGGCTCCTGGAGCCTCCTGAGAGCCAAAACGCTCGAGTTCCCAGAGGCCAGGGGCCCGCGAGGTAAAGGAGCTGGATGGAGAGGACGACGAGGAGGAGGAGGAGGAGGAGGAGGAAGAGGAGGAGGAGGAGGAGGAGGAGGTGGAGGATGGATGGGACGTCATCAAAGAAACCCTGGCGACCGTCAGCACGCTGACGACCGTAAGGGCCTGAGATGTGTTTTAGTCATTTACGCGGCCGCGCTCCCCGCGCGCGGCCGTAGCGCAC